GCATGACTCAAAGGGAAGACAGATGGGAATGGTGGGGAAGGGGGTTTATAAAAAAACAAAATCACGCCCCGATCACTTTTCTTAGTTTCTTGCTTTTACACAAATTGTACCATATAATCTCAAAAATGTTTCTCTGTAAATTTTTGCAAACGCACTCAGAGGCTAAGTTTTAACCAAAACAAGGGAAAGAAAGAAACAGCACAGACTAGTAGTCTTTGGAAAAATAATGAAGGACCCATTTTTGAAGACACCTGGAGGATGAAAATTTAGGTGCAAGTATTGGGGCAAACCTAGAAGCAAAGAGGAACAGATCGCAGGGAAAGCCAGTGGAAAGCACAACTCTCGAGTGAGTTTTTCTGTCCCCACTGACTCCTTCTCCTCCTTACCTCTTTTTTATTTTTTCCATGAAATCACAAAGGTCAATCCCAGAGTCTCCTTTGACTACATAAATAGTCTCCTGTTCTGGGCTTCAGAAGATACACTCCCTGGCTCTGGCCATTTCCCGCTCTTTATGGGCTTGTTAAAACACTCAGTACTTATAGAATGGACTTTTTTGCTTGGAGTGGTACTCAAGGTCTCCCTGACAACTCACTTTTCACCTTCAGGGCATTCTGCCCTGTAGTCAAACAGAACTACTGGCTGCTCATAGCTAGGTGTTCATGTTCTGCCCACCTATATTTTGATCCTGCCCCCCGGCCCCGGACTCCATACCAGGAATGGTGTTCTTAAGTCCAGATCAAATGTTATTTCATCCAGAGAGCCCTCCCTGACCCAGCTGGACAAGCCTCTCTGCTCTTCCAACCTTCCTGGCACTCTTCCCAGTGGTTCCAGGAGTAGCCTTTCTTGCTCTTTTCCTTGACGTAGAAGCATTTACTGTGTAAAGTTTTCATCTCTCTCAATCTAGACTTCCAGCTACTTTTGCCAGGAACCATGCCACACCTTCCCTGTAACCTCAGATAGGAAAAGGGCAAGGACACAGCACAGGCTGGATAATGAACAGAAAGGAGTTAGGAAGGATGAAAGGCAGGAATGAAGGAGCTAAATATGCTTCTAGTCCTTGGATATAGGAGAGACTGATTTCCAGGAGCTGTTCTCCTTTTCAATCAATACGAAGAAGACAAGAGCATGTTTCTCATAAAAATTCTCAGTCTCTATGTTTTTTAACAGGGATTCTCATTTCTCTTCTCTGGGTCTCTAAATCCACTGTAGGTCACCCCTGTTGTTTTCCAGCTTTGCTCATGTTGCTGCAATGTCAGGTTGATCTGTCCTTTTATGCTTCAGCATCAACCAAAGGAAAAAGATAAGATACTACCTGGAGACCCAAGATACTGCAATGCTAACTTGTTAGATCTTGGGGTAGCAAGCAATTCACACAAAGGTATTTTTATTTTTAAAGTTTTGGATGTGGTGAGATTTTCTGCATGGTCTTTTTTAATGACTTCTCAAGATTTCCTGGCTTTATGCAAGATTGTTACTTACAACTGGAGGCAAGTTAACAAGGGGAAAATTATGTTCCATATAATACAAACAGGAATAAAATATTTAATAGTAGCTATGAGAAAAAATGACACCCTGTAGCATAGTGGGGGCCTTGTGGGACTTGAAGTCCGAGTATCCAATATGGCTTTGCCCTTAACTTCGGGGGATTTAAGTAAACTCTCTGTGTGTGCCTGAGTCCAGTTCAGTGGGAGCTCCATCAACATCAGATCTCTGCGTGGATATATTTGTGTAAACAGTTTGTAAAGTGCTCTTAGATATTTTTTTCTAGGCAAAAGATAAACTCCTTTAATTTAAAATCATCAGCTGGATTGCATTAAATGAAGGGAAAAGCAAAAACATATACAATTCAGCCATTCATTAAATTAAACACAACTATTTCTCCTGTTACCTAATTACAAACAGACCTAAATAATCTGGATTCTGACATCTCAGATCTTTTTAAAGTCTTGATCTGCATTTTGACATGTAATGAAGGGAAGGTCATATTCCAATTTGTGTGCTAAGCAAACCTGAGAGTTACAGTTGTATATTGGGACCATGATGACTTCACTAAAACAAGACCTAAACTTTTAATTAACCTGCCAAGACAAATTACAACTCACAGCTCACAGGTAATGATCACAGACAGCCGAGACTCAATGCCAGGGACTCTTGGGGAAAGGGGGATTAATAGCAACATCAGAATCAGTCTGTTTTTGTATTACAGAAAAAAAACAGTGTTCATTAAACAGTCGCTGTAGCTTGAAGGGAGACAGACAGGTCAGAAAGGCAGCAAGAGAAAGTGGAAGGAGAAAGAGGAAGGCAGGAAATATTAACAGCTTCCATTTACCAAGTGCATACGGCTGCCTGAGCTGTGCTATGTACTTTATATCGCTCTCTAATCTCCACAATAGGGATTGCAGAGTCCTGCTATTTTTCATTTTTCTGGACAAAAACAAACAAAAAGAAAAGAAAAGAAAAAGAAGTTCAGAGAGGTGACAGACTATCCATGGCTCTAGAACTAACACGGGAGAATAAGGAAAAGAAGAAATGGCAAGTGGCCTCAGGAGGCATTTGTTTTCATCTGACCGCCCACTCAGGATCACTTTGGCCCTGAGGCAGGCCTACTGAGTCGGAATTTTTGAAGAAAGGCCCAGGAATTGGAATTTTTACCTGCCTCCTGCTTCCCGGTGAGTTCTTTGTTCAACAGTGCTTGAGAACCACCAATGAGATATTGCAATCCTTTGCTACTCAAAATACCACCAGGTGCTGGTCAGAAAAACACAATGGAAGGACCCCTACACCCGCTGGAGCAAAATCTGCATTTTAACAAGACCAGCGGGTGATTCATAAATATGTTCAAGTCTGAGGAGCACAGGAAAGCCTATTTGCTTGAACAGACACGAAGGGTTAAGGAGAGGTAGAGACAGCTTTCATCATTTAGGTGAGAACAGAGGAACCAGGGGGAAAGCAAGACCATTTTCCTAATTATGACAAAGCAGGTTAGCAAGCTGTGACAAGCAAGAGTTGGCAAAGGTACCTTACTGTACCTCCATCTTATTTCTCGAAAATGCACATCCTAATTAAAAGTAGTTTTCTTTGGGGGCTTAAATTAATAACCTTTCATATTTATGTTCAGTTATTAAAACTGAAGCCTGACTGTGAAAGCTCTTAGCTTTGTGCTTCCCTGTGAAGTGTGCCGAGCAGTAGTTAGACAGGGAGATCATGAAGCTGGAACTCAGCACCATTTGATAATTATGTGCCTAAATTGAAGCCACCATGTCTAGAAAAAGAAAAGAAAGGGACTATAGCCTAGCAAATCCAGCAAAGCAATGGCCTATTTGATGGAGAGAGGAAGAGCTGGGCCTCTAATGAAGCGGGTGAAGGGTGACCTGCCTTAATATTATCAGGCTCAAATTCCAGATGCTTGAAAAAGCAAGACCTGGAAAACATTAATGATTTGTGTACTTAAAACCCATCTTCATGGTAGGGATTCAGGACTGAGTTCCCTTTTCCTGTACTTCAGAAGATGACATTAAGGGAGGAAGCCAACACCACCACAACTGTCAAGATGGGCTGCTGGTAGTCCTGCCAATGGGAACCTGGGCGGGACAGGTCATATACATGCTCCCTCTCTTACCAAATGAGGAACAATACAGGATAGGGGCTGGGTGGGGTCCTGGGGAGACAGAAGACTATCAATATCTCTTCCTTCTGAGTACTCAGATTCTGGTGGCTAAGAAAGACACTTCCAAAACAAGGACAGCACAGGGGATGCTTCTTCCATCTGAGCAGTGCTGGCCCATACCTCTTTCACTTTGCCACAAGGGTAGAACTGCAAGGCTGAAATAATAGGAGAAGCTTATTAATCATGGGCTGTATTTAACAGGAAGATACTCTCAATACCAAGGGCAAAACTGCAAATGAGAGCAAAATGGCTTGACAATGACCATTGCTCTTCAGATGGAAGAACTAGAGCCTTGCAAGAGTTTTGGAAAATGAGTACCAAAGTAAGAGATTTTCTTTAAAGTCCACATTTCCTATGTCAAAGTGACCCCTGGCTGAGGATAGAAGCGCACTTGATCTCTAAACCACACAGAGCTTTGCATTAGGTCGAAATTCCATCCCCAAGTGTTCTGGTTTATGGACTTGTGTTTTTCTGTAGGTTTTACTCCCTGGAGGGGACTTGATCTCTAGGCTGTGTCACAGTGCTTGCAATGCAAACTCAGGAAACACATTTTCTAACCTGAGCTACCAAGGCTGTCATGTTCATCTCCGGAGGAGATGCATTCTGTGGCACGGATTGGTAAAAAAATGAGAAATTCTTTCAACCAAAGGGCCAAGCTACTCAGATACCCATTGGCTTCTGAGGGGCCCAAGGGCCCTTTTCCACCACAAGGGACAGGGTTGGTGTTGAGATTCATTTAAGACACTAGGGCTTGTCCTTCGTCAAAGAATAGGGCATTCTCAACAAAACCTCCTAGCTGATGGATGGCATTGCTCATTCAGCACTTTGCAGGGCTAGTCTCACTCTCCTCAAGCTTTTATCTTTTTTGTGTTTTTTCCCCTCAGTCTGCCAGGGGTTGTTGGCTCCAAAAGCACCAAACAAAACAAAACAAAGTCCAAACCAAACCCAAATAACAAATCAGTGAGTTGAACCAAGTGAGACTCTCGAGATAAATAGGTGGGAGACAAGCGCCAAGCAGAGAGATGTCACCTCCATGTGACTTGTCACCCAGACTTGCCCCACCCGCCCCGGTCTGGAAAGGCAGCTGCAGGTCCACACATCGCTGCACAGATAGCAGGAAAAAGGCAGTGGGCTCAGGTGCCAGTCCAGGACAGCCTCCTTGGCTGGCCTCTCATACCTACTCCCTGCCAACAAGCCCAGTGGGGATGGCTCACTCCATGACCCAGGTGGCATCTACAGTTCTTGGCAAGACACAGTCCCTTGCTAGCATCAACCTCCAGAGTCCCTCAATATCCTCCCACTCAAAGAGAGTGAGGAGGGTAGAGCTTCTTACCAATGGCAGTGGTGAGGAAAGAAACCACTTCAGATTCTTTCCCATCGTTGTAAAAGGCCAGGTGCCAGATTCCCGAATCCAGATACTGGATGAAGCCGGTCTCATGGCTGGAGGGGGGTACACCACCCCGAGACTGGCGCTGGGATCCTTCCAGGCTTCGTGCCTCTTGAGTCAGGAGTCTCCTTCCATCCAGTAGCTCCACAAAGTCAAACTAAGGCAAAAGGAGAGTGTAATTAGTAATGGATCTGCTCTACCAGATGCCATCTTCCTTTGGGTTTGTCCTGGGGAAGACAAGGAAACATGAGCTGAGAGAAGCATGAGAGGCTGAAGCCCCAGGAAAACTGATCAACCAGCTCAAACTCCTTCCCAGAACCCATTTTTTCATGATAATATTCTCCTGACTCTCTTATGAATATGGCATAATAGTGCATTTTTTCTAGTCTGATTTTCTTCATTTTTGTTGTATGAATGGCGAGTCTGCACCCAGCTGTATGTATGTACCAGTGCAACCATGCTTTTTCAAAGGTGGGCCTGTGGTTAGCGACTTCAAGACTGTCTGAGCTCCTTACAAATTATGACAGGAACTTCAAGGATCAAGAACTGGATTGGAGTGCTGAACAAGATTGCAATGTCAGGCATGAGCAGCCAAAGATTTCATTTATATCTATTTGTCTTTTATCGATGACCTTTTCTAAAGGCTCCGATTTCAGGGAGCAATTTTAGGAGAAGTAAACTGGATTGGCCCAGAACTCTATCAATAATTACAGGCTGTGCCCAATAGAAATGCCAGTTGATCTGAGACTGCTAGCATGAGACTCCAGAGAAGTTTGTCAAGCAGTATTAACAATAGGTAGGTGCTTAAGCCCTACTGGCCTACTCAAAGTGAACTGAGTAGCAGTCTAGCTTAAATGCTTTAAAAAAAAACAACAGGCTGTGCCATAGAAATGCCAGTTGATCTGAGACTGCTAGCATGAGACTCCAGAGAAGTTTGTCAAGCAGTATTAACAATAGGTAGGTGCTTAAGCCCTACTGGCCTACTCAAAGTGAACTGAGTAGCAGTCTAGCTTAAATGCTTTAAAAAAAAACAAACAGAAGATGGATCTATTTATTCTACGATGTGTAAAAGCATCTGGGTGCATGTGAAGACCAACATGGAAGTTCTGCCATCAGCGGGGCCCAGGCCCCTCTATTTTTCTTTGGCCCCATCCTTACCAGAAATCTGAACTAGCTACCAGGGATTGGAAGACAGTATATAGCCTGGGCATGACCAATGGATGCTTATGATTTAAATTATTGGTAAGACTTTGACAGGGCTCTCTTCTCTGTCATTCCTGACTGGCAATATGTCAGTCATCTCAGACATGTATGGATGGATGGATTTTTGGTGCTGGAATGGAAGCTACAGCTTCACACATGCTAAGCACATCTTCTACCACTGAGCTATACTCCCATCCACCTGGACAAATTCTTTGTGTTTCTGATCCACATGTGTCTGAGTAAATGTGTAGGACAGAAGGAATACAAGAGACTAGAGAAGTAGCATTTATTTTGGGCCAGGTGCTACACTAGCTGCCTTATAAATGTTATTCTTTATTCTTCACGATAAACCCTGAGAAGTAGGTATAATTATCCTGATTTTATAGATTAGGAAATTTGCTCAGAAAGGATGTGTAATAGACATAAGGTTACATAGCTGATAATAAGAGGGTTCAAACTCAGTGCATGACTTTTGTCTAGATCACATTTCTGGGATAATTTAACAGAGGAGACTGAGTAATAGCAGCAAGGCTATTTAAGAAATTTCATTGAATTCCTTTCTCTTAAAGAGCCTCAGGGATTTCACCTTTCTTGTCTGAAAGACAGGGTCTGAGAGGGGGCAAACAAATAAATGACCTATAAAATGTGTGAAATTCTTTCCTAGAGGATGTGGGTTGGGCTTCTTGACTTGGGCTAGGAGATCTGAGCAGGAGTCCACAGGGGTCAGCGGGTAGGTAAGGTTCAGGTTACCTGGGTGTGGGAAGGAGGAAAGCCTTTTCTGCCATAAATGCCAACCAGTGCTGCCTTTCCCAGGGACACGTTGAACTTCAGATGCACAGGATGGTCTATGAACACCTGAGATCTCCAGAAAGTGCCAGGAGGAATCTTCTGGGAAGCCCGTCTCCCCACATCGATTTCTCCAGAGTCTATAAAACTGTCCTCTGGAAAGAAACTACTGGGTTTTCCTACCAAGACACAGGGAAGGAAAGACAAAAGCATTTTGATTAGCCACAGTGGACATAAGGACTCAGCTTCTGAACAACCGGGACTCTGTTCAGCCTCTCATTCCTCTGCAAAGTCCTCTAGCCAGCAGCCCCTCTCCTTCATCCTGGCCCACTTCCTCCCACAGGAGTAAGAAGGTCCAGAACTTTTTTTTTCCAGCGATGCTCACATTGTTCAGCTAAAAATATGCATTCTTCCAAAGCAATACGGGTCCTCCCCAAGGGCCATCTGTTTACTGCATAATTCCACAGCTTGTTAAGATATATTTTGATCCTAAAAATAATCATTTGCAGTCACATGAGAATAACTTTGCAATTTTGTGAGAGAGAGAGTGTGTGTAAAGAGCTGCACGGTAAAATAGGGAGGGTAGAGAGAGTGAGGTGTTGTTACTGAATTTCCAGCTTGGAACAATTCTCCCAGCAGTGGGAAGCAGGATGCCAGGGGAGTAAGGTATTTTAAAAGCTTACTAGTTTATGTATAAACTGGAAGCCAAATTCTAGATTTGTGGCCAGGTACATGGATGAGGGTTTGCGTTGGCAGCAGGAATATGGGTAAGGAAGATGAGGAAGAAGGTCTTTCTATGGGAGGAAACGTCTGAAAAATGCGTCTTTGTCTTTGGATAGGGGTGGATATCATTTTTTGCTAACATGGGTAAAGTCGAAGGAATTTCTCAAGTTTATACACAATGTCCATGCCATACTTGGAAATTCAACCGGGCCCCAGGTCTGTGCCTCACATTCCCTTGGGGGTTACGAATAAAGTCTCCTACTTCTCCCATTTCTGTCACCAATCAAGAGACTAACTGCTTTCCGAGGGCACCACAGGGCCAGGAAGGAAGGTTGCTTATCAAGCTTCCTCTATTTAGTAATTAAACACACTCGTATGTGAAAGAGATAAACCCTAACTTCCTGCCAGACATCAGCCTTCTGAAGAGAGGGGAGGGGGCAGCGGAGACTACAGGAACATTTGGACGGCCACCCTTGGGAACCTGAAACACCAAAATCAAGTCAACAGACATTTTGTTATTAGTAAGGACCCCCTGGGCATCCTGGCTCCAAGGCTTTTTTGTGTGGTTAAGAGATGTTGGAAGATGTTGGAAGAGAACAAGAATTCATTTGTAAAGAAAACACGTTTGTAGAACTTTTTATAAAAAGCATTTGGAGAACAAGAAATTAAAATGTCTTTTTTCCCTAGCTTTGTAAGACTCCTTACAAAGCACATTTGATGCTGAAATGGAGCTTGGCAGGGCATTGTTGTAGTCATAAAATATTTTACTGTTTTAAATAATAAAATTCAATTTAAATGTTAAACTTCTCCATATGTTATCATTCCCTTATAAACTCCTAGGCAGAAACATCAGGTTTTTAGCTTCAAACCGTTAAACGTTATTTTAATTAAAAATGTGCCAACAAAAAAGTTAAAATGCACGCTATCAATAAAAGTACCACCACTATTCTATCATTAGCTTGGGAAAGAGTTTGCATTTAATTCCTCATGGAAGGAATATGTACCCCAGACTTTTACATTGAAAATACAGACACACAAACCATCACACTGTGAACCACAAACATGTTATTTTAATTAAAAATGTGCCAACAAAAAAGTTAAAATGCACGCTATCAATAAAAGTAACACCACTATTCTATCATTAGCTTGGGAAAGAGTTTGCATTTAATTCCTCATGGAAGGAATGTACCCCAGACTTTTACATTGAAAATACAGACACACAAACCATCACACTGTGAACCACAAACTTCAAAGAGAGAAGCCAAACTCACAAGGCATTAAGATGGAAGAGAATTATTCACATTCTTCTTTACCTGATTTGTGGGATCCAGGATCACAACCCTTTTATATGGCAGGTAGAAAACACTATACCTCCAACTTTTACTTCTGCTAGGGAGAGAGAACTAAAAGACAATATGAAAAGCCAGGATGTGTTCTGAACCTTGTTCTCCTAGGAACTGCAGAGAAAGCAGCACACGACTGCTAATTCCAAGGGCTCATTTCCTCTGTGTTTAAGTAGGTGGGAGTCAGAGCTGAAGGGATTTGAGAATTGTCTGTATTCAAATAGTTCCTGTGTCTGAAAATAATGGAAAAATACTCCCCCATTTCAGCATGCTGCCAGAGAAGGCTGCACAGTTCATTTTCTCCTCCAGTGATCATATTTTAGGAGACAGCTACTGTATCAGCTAAGTTCTGTTACCTTACAGGCCAGAGGTCAAGCCCAAAGATTCCCCATAGGGCTCTGCAGCCCAGAGGAGTAAGTACATTGACTTTTACTCCATAGGAGGTGTCAAAAGGAGACTTCTCTTTTATAGCACTTTCTAGTATTTCAACCAGGTAGGCCAGATTGTTGGGAAACATTGTCTTTCTAGTGTATGGAATAAAATGAAAATAATAAATTTTGGTCGGGGGCATACCTCTCAAGAGGACCTTGAATTTGTGGTCTCCACACTGGAATCCCAATGATAGTAGGGATGGTTGGGAGGGGCTGAGAAGAGAGAGAACAGTCTGCTGAATACCTTCACTGGGTGGGAAAGACAGCTGAGATTGGCTGGGCCAGAGGCTGCCGGAGTTAAAGGCTTCCCCCATTTGTATCTTTTAAAAACCTTTACTACCTTCCTTTTTTCGGATACTATGCAATTATTTGACCTTAATTCTGGGCACCAAGTATGAAAAGTATGATAAAATATCCATCACAGAGAAAATTCCCTGATTATGGGGAATGAGGGAGGGGAGAGGATAGAGGATCGAGGCAGCTGGATGAGAAAAGGTCTGTGTAAAAAATTCTTAACTGTACCTATGTGCTAGAAGATAATAACAGCTATTGGTAGGAGATATGGTAATAAAGGTATAGGTGGTTGTATTAGCTACCATTTGATGAGTTCCAACTACATTAGCGGATAGCCTCATTTCTATCAGTTCAGTTAATTCTTGTAACACTAATATAATCTATATACTGAAGTTTAGAATGCATAAGAAGCCAGTTAGAGATATCTCTTTATTTGGGATATCTAGGAGGATTAAATCAGTAACTGATTAAAACTCTAAAATGTCATTATCAGTGATGGTGGGATGCACTGACCCTCTTAAAGATCAAGAGTCCCAGTGGAATTCATAGCCCCCATAGGCTAAATGTCAAGGCTTGACCAGGTAGATCTGAGACCCCTTTATGAATGTCTTGACATTCTAGGCTTCAAGAAGTTAATCATTTTATGAATCAAGAACTTGCACAAAGGCCCTACAGTTGTCATGGTCTCAAGATGTTCACAAAAAATACACTATACTGTCACTGGGTACCCCCAGAGCCTTAGCAAACAGTACAAAGACCTTAAGGCCCCTCCAAAAGCATGATTAGATTTCACAAGGCAGATACTACCAGTAAGAGTCCCCGCTCTTTTTTTGGTAAGGCCAGACAGATCCAGGGTTCCTATAGCAATGCCGTGCAAATACGCAATCATGTCTATAAAAGAAATCTCTTGATGGATTGCTGAAATGATTGGCTAGCTCAGTCAAGCACAGATTTGGAAAAACTAAAATTCTACAGGCTTCACCATCATAGTCTTTACTTTCCTGAATTGAGATCTATCTATAAGATTCTACATTTTTAATCAACTAACAATCTTCCCCTCCCTCCATCTTTTCAGTTCTTTTCAATGCAATAACTTGCACAAAGAATCCTTTAGTTTCCTTAGCAACTGTCTGAAATTTATTTGGTTATCAAAATAAGCTGTTCCATTTTGGAGATCCCAGCTGAGCCTGTGTGCAGCAATTTGCATGGTTCAAACTGATGGGCAATTTTGATTTCATTGCAGAGAGAAGAAAACGCTATCCCTAGCCCACCAATTCAACCATCAGAAATGCTTGTTTATTTAATGCTTTTTTCCCTTTCCCCATTAATGTATAACACAAGTTCTTGTGGCTTTGCTTTGAAAAGCTGCTGTATTTTGTTTCTCTTCTGCGACAACCTCAAAAATATAGTATGAATTGTAGTTTTCATGTTATTCTCAAAGATAGTGACATTTATAGTAATAGAATTACTGCATATTTAATTTGTATAATTAAAAATATATGCTTTAAACATATTAAAAATACCCCACATCTTAGGAGGATATGTGGGGGTAAATGTTAATTAATCTGGGCTTCTGGGGTTTTAATAACTAAGATGGAACAGTTAGAGACTTCAGTGGGTGAGAGGAGAGGAATGAGCATGTGTAAGCGCCTCTTTGACACTATACTTTAGAAGGGTAGATATCATCGTTGTTTACAGATGAGAAAGCTAAGGCCACAGGAGATAGAATGATTGGTATGACTTAGCAGAGCCAGTAAAAAGGCAGGGCCAAGAATCAACTCCTGGAGTGTGTCCCTCCAAGGCACATTTACCTGTCTCTATCATGCACACTCTTCCCCCATCATTGTGGAGCCAAGGCTCAAATCTTAATTCTCAAATTAGCTCTCCTCCCTGATGTCCCCTGAAGAGATAAGAAATATGCACTTGGATCAGGAATGAGACTTTTTCCCTTGAGACAGCTCAAGGAATTAGAGTTTTGAACATCACAACTAACTGGGGCCAGGGATTTAGCTCAGTGGTGCTGCTGCCTGCCTCATAAGTACAAGGATCCAAGTTTGATCCCCTGTACAAAAAACAACAACAACAAATATATGTATATATATATATAT